CGCCAGCCGCGCGCCCGCCTCGCCCCGCTGCCCTCGCCGCGGCCCTTTCTGTGCGTCCTTGAGCTCCTTCTTCCTGTCCATCGGCAACGGCCGGGCCGCCCCTAGGCCCCGCTCTGGGATGCCTTTCCTCTCGGTCAGCGTCGTGTTTCTCTGTGCCTCAGATATCCTCGTTTCAGCTGCCACCTGCATTCAGAGGAGCCATGCCTTCATTTTCCCAGTGCAGGTCTCTGCTCTGCGTGTCGGACCCGTGACCCCAGCTCTCTACTGGACACCCGCGTTAGGGGACCCGGACGGCGCTCCCGCCGGCGTGCCAGGCCAGACCTGAGCTCCCGGCCGCCCCTTCGGGCCTCACGTCTCGGGCGGAGCCGCTGTGTCCTGAGCTGCACCTCCTAGACGTGTCCACTCCCTTTCCCCTGCCCCTCCCGGGCTAACGAGTCATCCAGTCCTGTGGCACTTTCCTCCCGAATCGGCCCACGCTGCTCCGTTTCTACCTCCGGGCGTTTATCATCTCCCAGCCTGGATTTTCTTCTTCCAACCTCATTGTACTTGAGTGAACTTTTTATTCTGTAACCAGAGAGATCTTTTCAAAGTGCAAATTTGGTCGTGTCACCTGCCTGCTAAAAAATATTTCAATTGTTTAATGGCCTTTATGGTAAATACTTGGACCCTTACCGTGACCAGCACCGTGCCCGCCACATCGCCGGCACTCGCATACTTGCGGGAGAATGTGTAATCATCTTACGTAGGTCACAGTATTTGCTATTAAAACAGTATTGCCACGTGCATATACCTCTGTGTGTATCTTTCTTTACTCTTGTTCCTATTTCCTTTAGATATATTTCTAGAAGGGGGGTTGCTAGTATCGTTTGGTTTTCATCTATTAAATATCAAGGTTAATGGAGCAGCTGGTGTAGTGCTTTGCAGCCGTCAGGAGAAAAGAGGAGCCTGACCCAGGAAGACCAGCGAGGATTTGTTGCAGCCGTCCTTGCCTTCTGTCTGATGGAAGGGAATTACATCCTTAAAGAGTTGCCCAGTGACTTGAGCAGTTTTTTTGAGATTTTATGCCAAATAACTTTAGATTAAATATTTTAAGACAGAGCAAGGAACAAATGAATCAAAATTTTATATTCATAACAAATATCATTTATTCCTGTTTTTATTTGGTTTATATATATTTTTTAATTCATGAGAAATTATGGAAATTAGGTAATTTAAGGAAAGGAAGAACTTGAAATGGGGTGGTGACGTAAGAAGCACTAAGAAAAATAAATGTATGATTTATAATTTTCATAGAAGTGAAGGATCTGTTTACTACTGTGGTTGATACCGGGCAGATCGTGTTTCAGAGACAGATTCTTCCTTCTCTGCCTCTTTTGCTCCACTCCCTGGAAGGAGGATGGTGTGTGTGGTGCTTGTGAGGTAGCCAGAAATCAGCATGAAGGTATCAGATGCCGGAAAAGTGGGGCCTGTGGGCATCAGGTTACTACCAGCCCAGCACTTACTAGTTCTGTGCCCTTGGACAAGCTAACTAATCTCCCATCTGAAAATGATACTAACCACTGATTTACATGCCAGCTAGGCTGGATGTGATCACTTGTTTTATTATTTATTCATCTGTTTATTTTTTAAAATTTGTTTATTTTTTAGCTGACACTAAAACACTTTATTACTAATTCCAATCCTGAGTTTGCATACCAGAAAATTAAAATAATGTAATGCAGGGATGCAAATTGCTTTAAGAACCCTTTTCAGCAGCTTATAAGGCTGCAGAAGAATTCACAAGGGGCTCCTAAGGCACTGAGAGTACCGTGCAATTCTGAAAGAGTTACTGCGCTCAAAGGGAACACAGAACTCTGACTTTCATAACTAACCTCTCACAAATTTCTGCTGTTTTCGCTCTCTAGTCTGCTTTTCAATACTGAAATGTGTAGATTATGTAGCTTTATATTTATTTTTATCTTACCATTAACTTTGTGTCAGCTGCTTTGTGGCTGTTTAAGCAGAACGTTGATGTAATTGCTCTGTTTGTCATCTCTTCTTGTTCCAGGCAATGGGCCGCACCACGACCGTTGCTGTAATTACGATGAAAACAACTTGGTGGATGGTGTTTATTGTCTCCCAATAGGACACTGGATCGAGGCCACTGGACACACCAATGAGATGAAGCACACAACAGACTTCTATTTTAGTATTGCAGGCCACCAAGCCATGCATTATTCAAGGTAAAAATAGTGCCGTGTTTATAAGCACAGAAATAGGACAAGAGGTAGCATTAGGACAATGGAAGTATTTACTGCTTTTGAAACTGTAGCGTCTCTCTTCAGAGGGGCCCATGGGCCTGCAGTCCTTTGTGGGGATAGATTATAGTGAATCACGGCACCAGCTTTTCTGGTTCTAGATGTGAAGGATCCTTTTTGAATTCTTTTATTAAGTATATACCCTGGCATCAGTCTATTTTGACCAGACAGTAAACAATCTTTGTACTTAAATAGTGGATTAAAAATAAAAACTGGATGAACCCTGGCCACATGGCTCAGTTGGTTGGAGTGTGATCCCATACACCCAAAGGTTGTGGGTTCGATTCCCGGTCAGGGCACATACCCAGGTTGCCAGTTTGATCCCTGGTCGGGGCACGTACAGGAGGCAACTGACCAATGTTTCTCTCTCTAAAAATCAATGGAGACATAGTCTCCTAGATCCGTGTTTGTCTCTTTTATGCTACCAACCACCAGTGAAACAAAAATGGGTGCCTCTGTATAAAACCCAACTCAAGTAAACATGGGTGAAAATTTAGACATAAAACTAGATTGGATGTGATCATTTGCTCTGTTATTTATTTATATATTACCTTTTATGTATTTGTTTATTTAGTTGTTATACCCGCAATATATGCCTTATTAAAAATTCAAACACAAGAGGATGCTAAATGAAAAGCAAAGCCTACTACATTTTCCTTTATTCCCCCTTAGCAGAAATAACTATATTTAACCATTTATGATTAGTTTTTCCTGGAGGGTAAGTCCAAGTCCCAAATAATGTGTGTCTACTTTATTTGTTAACATATCAATTTAAAAATTGCTGTTGATTCCGTTTATGACGTGAGACAAATTACACTCACATGTACTTTTTCTCTCTCTCCATTCCCAATCCCTACCAGACTCATTAAAAAAAATTCATTTGTTATTTAAGATCATAAAAATTCTGCTTATTGGCCCATAAATTTGTGACAGTGCCTCTTGACTTCCTGCTGTGTAAGATGGGAGATGTATTGCCCCTCTCTTTCCCTCCACAGCTTCTTACACCTATTTGCTCCTGTTTTTTATGACTTTTACATTTTCAAGGTTTATAGAGTTTACATTTAATTTAGCAAGTATAAATAAGTATTTTATACTTTGATGATTTCAAATTTCAAACCAATATCCAACATATAAAATACTATGTATATATTGTTTACTGTGGAACATGCAGGGTTTGTACCATACACAAAGAGACGCATTCTCATGTTCTTAACGATGCACTGCTTTGAGCGAGAGGGACTCAATACGAACAGGGTTGTGAGGCGAAGGAGAGAGAAAGTGCGGCTTCATCAATGCGGTAGGGAATCAGTGATATTCTCGGACACAGCTTTCGTACAGATTCATGCTAGATCTTGGTCTCAAGGATGGTAGGAGGCAAAGCAGGAGGAGGAGAGCAGTTAAGCACGACTCATGGTTTTATGGCCTGAGCAGCTGGATTAACGGTGTTGCCGTTTCCTGAGATGGGGAGCATCAGGAGATGAGCAGTCTGGAATAGGGGCTGGGAAAGAATTCTATTTTAGACATACTACCTTTGAAATGTATGTTAGATTGCAGGAAGGAAGTCGATTGGATGTGTGAAGCTTTGGGGAGAGGTTGGAAATGGAGAGATGAAACAGATGACATCCAAAGGGGTGAGACTGGGTGAGCTCAGTCCAAAGGGGTGAGACTGGGTGAGGTCAGTCAGCATTTGAGCGCAGTGTAGGAGGAGAGGAGTGAGCGAGGCCCTTGGGTCCTCACAGGTTAGAGATCAAGGGGAAGAGAGTGCGGAGAAGGAAACGAGGGGCACCGTGGAGATGTTCAGGTTTAACAGGGATGTGCTCATGGGGCGTTTTTCATTTATCCCGAATCCTTTTATCTGAAAAGTCATGTCTCAGGCTCTGGGGATTTTCTTCTATTTGATTAGTTTTCTCTTTTATTGTCTTTATTCTGTCAATAAAGACACTCCTGAGATGGATGTCGGGTTTTATGGATTCGTGTCCCATTTTAGACTTTTGAAAAATAATTTTTACCTCCTGGTTTTATTGCTTTTCATTTTGGGGTCGCTTCATTTCCCCCCCTAACTCAACTCATTCTTTTTTTTTTAAGTTTGGCAATTGAATTCCTAATTTTTACAGACTCTGACTTACTCTGTTAGAATAACCTGTTTGCATATTAGTTGGTTTCAGCTTCTGAGTGCATACATTCTTTAATCTGCCTTAGAGTAAATTCTATGGAGAAGTATTTAGAAATTCTCATTACTGGATCTGCCTTGTTTCCTCCTGGATCAATTGTTTTCTACTCATTCGATCTGTTTTATTGTAGTGTTAGTTTTGCAAATAGCTGGTGGTTCTTAGCTGTTCCTGTTTATTGTATGAAAGTGTAGGTGCTTATTGAATGTGGCTGGCATTGCCGAGCCTAGCCTCTGGGCCTCTGAGAGCGCTGGTGCGTGCTGGGTGCCTGCGGCGGGTCACGTCTCCCTGTGCAGACCTCTCGTCTTTGTTAGGAGAAGGCAGGTTTCCCAGAGGAGGCAAGTGGGAAATGGCTCTGAGGGCCTGGCTGCTGCTTAAACAGATTTCCAACCAGGTCTTCTGTTCCTTTCACCCACATCCAAGTATCTGGCGATTCCAGTTTCTGAGCCTGTTGGGGATTCTGTAGTATAATTCCAGTCCATTCTCAGCTTTCTTTACCGCTGGCCTTAGGAGTTAGTATTTTTCTGTCTGTTAAGTTATTCAGTAATCAACCTATTGCTTTCCAGCTCCCACAATTTTGTTGTTGTCATCTTTCTTCCTGTCCTTTCTTGTGGTTTTATGTGTATAATTTATTTTTTAAATCGTTCTCTTCTTGTTTTAGAGGGATTTAGTGAAGTCAATAGATGTGTGAAATCAATTTGTCTGCAATAAAAGTGAAATAAAGTATTTAAAGTGCCTAACATAAAACTTAGTCATAGTAGCTCAGTAAATTTAAGTCCATTCTTTATTTCTCGTATTTAGCATACATTCTGTTCCTCTGATGCAGGTAAGATTCTAGCATGGTATCATGAGATTTTAAAAATCAAAGTGCACTTCCATCTTCAGGCTGGGGAAGGAAAGTTTGTACTTGGTACCAAACTGCATCTCCCTCTTAGATTTTTCCTTATGTAAAAGAGTGAATATTTGCCTTAAAGACATAGATAACTAATTAAATGAGACTTTAGTGGAAAGGGACAGTAATTTCTGTATCTTGAAAAGACTTATTGCCTACTAAACTCATTTCAATAGACAAATTAGGCTTTATAAACATCACACCTTATACAGTTTAAAAAATGTGGCAGTTTAGAAAATGTATTATAAAAGCATGCTTATACTTTGCAGCCCCTTTGGCTTATAAAGAAAAGGTATATAGTAATTTTCAATACTCAACAGTACTTTAAACGCTAGAGCAATAATTTTGCACATTATTAAATACAGTTTTATTTAGCACATTTTCAAAAATGAATGAAATTAATCATTTTGGAGACTGAATGAGGACCTTGGGTGCCAGCCCAGTCTCTCATTTACTTCTGGGTAACCTTGGGATGAACCTCTAATAGTTCTAGATTTCACTTCCCTGATTTGCAAAGTGAGCTGATTGGACTAAATGACTACTAAAGGCAGTTCCGGAAATAATCAAGGATTAAAACTAATTAAAAAACCTAAGGCTTGGGTGATATTTTGCCAATATGTTATATATTGGCCTAACAGCCACTGTACTTCATATCAGCTTCTCTGGTTTCAGATCTAGGGACCAAATGCCTGCAATCTAATGCTGTCCCTACGTGATGCTTTCCCTCACTTTTTTGTAGCCCAGGACATACATTCAGTTCAACATTACAGAAGCTATATTTGGAAATACATATATTATAGCCAGTATACAAATAATCTTTAATAAGTATGTGTGTGCTTCTCCTATGATATTTTTATATTGCTCATATTTATAATCAAAATTTGACAAGAAATCTCTCTTGGAATAAATAGACAATAGCCGTAAAATTCTGTGTGCAAGACACCTCATTACATTTCCTACTTCTTCTATAGATCACAGTCAAGATGTTATTGGCCAAAGGAAGAATCTACTTGCAATTGGTAATTACATCTGATTGAACGATTTGAGATTTTTCTAAACATTAAAACCAAGACTATAATTGTTCATGCTCATATAGGAAAACAGCATAATCCTTCTTTTCGAGTTCTCATTGACCAATTATATTTATTATTTAGTATTAACTGAGCGTGGGAGATTCCTTGAAGTTTCTTTCCCTCTATAAATAATGCAGTTCATATTTTATAAGATTGAGTTAATTGATGGCTGTCCTCTTTTTATGATTAAGATACATATTATTATATGAAACATATTTAAATATATTAAATAAAATAGATTATACATATTATATGTAATTATATTGAGATGATTTATTTTCAATGTTGTATCAAAAATGTTAGTGATAGATATGAATATTCTAACAGTAATATGGGCTAGTGAAAATATACCTTTTAATTTTTATTTCTTAGGAGTCATTTAAAACATATCTGCAGCCTGGCTGGGCATGGCTCAGCAGTTGAGCGTCGGCCTGGGATCCAGGCGATAGGGGTTCGATTCCTGGTCAGGGCACATGCCCGGGTTGTGGGCTCGATCAATGACTCTCTCATCATTGATATTTCTATCTCTCTCTCTCCCTCTCCTTTCCTCTCTCTGAAATCAATAAAGATATATTTTAAAAAAACACACACAAAAAAACATATCTGCAGAAGTTCATGGAGAAAACAGTTTTAGCTGATAGTGCTGTTGGGGAATCAGTACAGATCTGAAGGAAGTAGCTGGATTTTGTGTTGCCTTGTATATTATCAACAGCAAGAATAGAGAGGAGTTTAAGGTTGGAATCAGCTGTATAGATTGGGTAACTAATGGAACATAAATATACTAACTCATGA